ATTAAACATTCTTTTACTCTTTTACCATCAAGACACTTAATAGTAGTTGAAATGTTTCATCTCATTTTATAGTGTTTTTACTAAAAACATTTAAAACAATGTTAATATTTTAAAAACATATGAATTAAAACTCAAAGGACAACACACTTAAGAGCATTATTTATCTTAAATTTTGAATAATAAAATAAAATATGTTGGAATAGAATGTGATTTTTCTTAGCTTATCTTTCTAAACCAAATTTGAAACATGAAGCATCCCTCTTTTTTCTTTTGCAAGCAAATTAACAAGAAGAATCGAATTCCTCATCTTAAACTTTGATTTACCTCTGATAAGAATCCCAGGTCCCCTGGAAATTTGAAGTAATACTTATAATAAAAGAATCTACTTTAATGGGGGAAAAAAGAAAACAAAGAGGAGATGCTTCCTTCATAGGCATATTCCAAGTCAATTTTCTACTCTCTAGAGTCTAGACTAGTGAAGAAGTGTAGCTAAAGATGGAAAAATAACCCGCCCAGCTCGGCCCATGGCGGGTTAAGCCAAATTGCGAGTCGGGCCTAACCCGGCCTGCCCTGGTTAGGCTCGCCTCTTTGGTCAGAACTCAGAAGGGTTGGCCCAACCTGACTCATTAACCCTAACCTGGTGGGTTTTTGTTTGGGCCAGGTCAGATCGGCTGAATTTTTATTTTTATTTTTTTTCTTTCGTGTAATTTTTTTGCTAGCTTTTTAAATATCAATAATTAAATTAAATTAATTTTTTTGTTAATATTTCAAATATTAATTCAATTTTAATACAATTAAATTGTAATATAAGAAAAAATAGATTTATTCATTTATCAAAAAATAAAATAAGAAATAAGAAATTACAACAATTATTGCCTCGTTAAAAACCTTACCAAGAAAAACCCAATTGGGACAAAAACTTGGTAGGAAAAAAGAGTACAATAATTGACAGTTAATTTACAAATTATAAAGTTACAATTTACAAAACAATTAATTTGAAGGTTGATTATGACCTCCCTCATCTGTATCGTCTAAATTACAAAATTGAAATGATTATATTAAAGTATCGCCAACAATCTCATATTGATCTTGATGACGCGATCGTTCACAATCTCAAAGACATGCGAGAACTTCAATCAATTTGGTGAAAGTTTAGTGCTCCTATCATTTAAAATTCTTTCACTTGCACTAAATGTTTGTTCAGATGAGACGGTTGAGACAGATCAGAGAAAACAGCTAGAGCAAGTCTTGATAATATCGGAAAAATACATTTTCTAGTTTTCTAATATTCTAAGACATCAAAGTTGACTCTTTGTTATGGATCTGTTGGTAGCATGTCGGGGTTTCCAAATATTGGTGAAACTTATTACTCTATAGCATGGAGGACAATATATTTGTTGTTGATGCTTATGAAGAGAAGGCTATACTTCGGGTTCAAGTTCTCTTTGGCCTACTAAGTGCACTCCAGGAGTCGAAGTCTTTATTTGTGTTTTCTGATGCTACTTCCTCGGGTATTTTGCCTCTTCGCTAGTTTCTATACCTGTTTTTATATTACAAATATACCTCTGCAAGACACTGTCTTATCTCTCCTAGTTGATTGACATATGCTTCGTCTTGTAAATTTTCATTTAACGTGTCTAAACCATTTTCTAAACCCACTAATTTAATTCTATGATCAAATATGGTAGTTAAACAAAAAAAAAAAAAAAAAAAATGAATAGGTTTCCAATATTTTTTAAATTTTAATTCCATTGACTCTGTTAGTCTTGTTAAAATTTCATTGTTTATGTTTTTTTTTTTTTTTAAATAAATCTGAAATTTTTATAATTGTATGTATTACCAATGGACTAGTATGATAATATACAAAAAAAAAGTTTTAAAGTGGATTGATAAAATTTTTTAGGAAAATAATGAAATTTTTGAGCTATATGCCAATCACTGTCTACCAAATAATGAGGACTCCTATTATTTGCTACAAAATACTAATTAAATTTGTATAAGGTAAACATGAATGAAGTATTAAATAAGTATCATTCCATCTACATGCATGTTTAATGCAAAAGTTTTAGGAGACATATTTGATTTTATACAAGCATCTTGAAATTTAACATTTCTTCTAGTATTACTAGTAATTCAAGCTAAAGAATCCTTAATTTTATCAATATTATTTCTAATTTTTTTCATATGACTTTTTACGATTAAATTAATAATGTGACATGCACAGCGTTGGTGAAAAAACTTCAAATTGTCATTAAAAAAAAAATTACTTCTAAAATTTTTTATAGCTCTACTATTAACACTTGCGTTATCTAAAGTTAAACTTATCACTTTGTGAACAATATCATAATCTTCTAAAACTTTAACAGTTTTATTATAAATTTGTTGACTACTATGATCCACATCCACTAATCTAAATCCCAATAAAGATTTATTTAATTTACATTCGTTATCAAAATAATGACTAGTCACACAAATATAATCTTGTTTAGCTCTACCACTCCAAATTTGTCCTCCATGTAGCTAAAGAGTAATGAACTTCACTAATATTTGGGAACCCCCGATGTGCTACCAGTAGATCCACAACAAAGAGTCAACTTTGACGTCTTAGAATATTGGAAAGCTATAAAATATATTGTTTTAGTATTATCAAACTTGCCCTGGATGTTTTCTCAGTTCTCATCTCAACCGTCTCATCCGAACAAACATTTAATGCAAGTGAAAGAATTTTAAATGGCAGGAGCACTAACCTTTCACCAAAATTGATTAAAGTCCTCGTATGTCTTCAAGATTGAAAACGATCGCGCCATCGTGATCAATATAAGATTGCGATGATACTTTAATAGAATTATTTTAATTTTGTAATTTAGATGATATAGATGAGGGAGATCCTAGTCAACCTTCAAATTAGTTGTTTTGTAAATTGTAACTTTATAATTTGTAAATTAATTGTCAATTATTGCACTCTTTTTTCCTTACCAAGTTTTTGTTCCAATTGAGTTTTTCTTAGTAAGGTTTTTAACGAGATAATAATTGTTGTAATTTTTAATTTTATTTTTTGATAAATGAATAAATATAATTTTTCTTATATTATAATTTAATTGTATTAAAAATTGAATTAATATTTGAAATATTAACAAAAACATTGAATTGAATTGAATTATTGATATTTGAAAAGCTAACTAAAAAAAAATTAGACAAAAGAAAAAAAAAAAAAAAAATTTCGAGTCGATTCAGCCCGGCCAGCACAAAAACCCGTTGGGTTAGGGTTGGTAGGTCGGGATGGGCCAACCCTTTTGGCCAAAGAGGCGGGTCTAACCAAGGCGGGCCAGGTTAGGCCCGACCCGCAATTTGGCTTAACCCGCCACATGGCCGGGTTAATTTTCCACCTTTATATTTGTCAACTAAAAGCATGGTTCTTGTTAGTTACATACAATGATGTATACATCTAGAAAAAGAAAGAAAAGATTATTTATTTCTATTCAATGTGATCACATCATATCAGAATCAGATTCCATATAATTTATTTTGTTTAAAATAAATCATGAAATACCAAACCCTCTAAAGTATTAGCATGATTTAGGTAGTTTTAAAAGGTTAAATAATCCAATATATAAAGAAAACAGAGAATCCGTTGTAAAAGATAAAAATAACTAGACGGTCACGTGGTTAAATAAAAAATTTTTAATATATTATTTAAGAGATTATAAATTTAAACTTTTTTTTAGGTGTTAATAAAAATAACTACGGAAAGTTTTTACTTGTTCGATAATTTCAGAACATCGAAAGTTATATTGAAACTGTTAATACTTCTAAGATGTTGAGAATTAATTAAGGTTTACCAAACCTAACTGCCCAATAAGTCGGTTAAAAAAAAAAAAAAAAAAAAAGAAAAAAAACAGTGAGAAAAGATTGTACCGTATCGCTGTCCATAAATATAACGTACTGGAAAGAAAAGTGTCGTTGAGTTTTGGTCTTTCACTTGACATCAGAACTCTCTCTCTACAATCTTCTACTTACTGTCACTTTCTCGTGTGGAGCTCATAAGCTATCCATTTCCTTCCCATTTTTATTCACCTGGAAAATCACGAGTTACACTTCACTCTTCACTCTTTTTCCTTTAAACAATAATTTTTTACTTTCTTTTTTCTTTTCTTTCGCAGCATCATAATTCGCTTCACATTGTTACTTCGTGATTTAAGCTTTTTGTTGTTCAGTTGCTTGATAAATTATAACACGGAGTACCGACTACTAAAAGGTTAAAAACAGAGCAAACAATTGAAGGTTGAGAAATGGCTGCTAGAAATCTGGAGAAGATGGCGTCAGTTGATGCTCAATTGAGGTTGCTGGCACCGTCGAAGGTCTCTGAAGATGACAAGTTGGTGGAGTATGATGCTCTATTGTTGGATCGCTTTCTTGATATTCTTCAGGATTTACACGGGGAAGATATCAGAGAAACGGTAACCTTTTCTTTGTGGACGTATATGTCATCCGTTAAAATTGATTTCTTATCATGTTATGAGACTTTTATTTTGGTTCTGTTTTGTCTTTTGTGTGCTATATTTAGTTAATTGTGCAAACTTGAAGCTATAGTTGCAACTTGCAAGTTTAGCTTTCGTGATTATGCTCATGGATCGATAGCTTGTTAGAACAGTGAATTTATGAGATTCTGGTCTCAGTTTGAAACTTTGTTCCTCATTTTACATCAGTTGGTTTAAAATCAAAGTCACTTTCCGTTGCAACTATAGCTCATTGACTCTTTCAATCCTATATGTTCTACAGGTTCAAGAGTGTTATGAGCTTTCAGCTGAATATGAAGGGAAGCAGGATCCTCAAAAGTTGGACGAGCTTGGAAATGTTTTAACAAGTTTGGATCCTGGTGATTCTATTGTTGTTACCAAATCGTTTTCTCACATGCTTAACCTGGCCAACTTGGCTGAGGAAGTTCAAATTGCTTTCCGACGAAGAATCAAGTTAAAGAAGGGGGATTTCATTGATGAAAGTTCAGCAACAACTGAATCAGACATGGAGGAGACCATCAAGAGGCTTGTCATGAAACTGCATAAATCTCCAGAGGAAGTTTTTGATGCTTTGAAGAACCAGACTGTAGATTTGGTGCTAACTGCACATCCTACTCAATCTGTTCGAAGATCTTTGCTTCAAAAACATGCTAGGTTTGTCGTCCGCTTACCTCACTTTTGCACTTTCAAATCAACTGGATCAACCTTAGCAGCTTACATGTTAAAGCATTTGTTAAAGATATATATTTTTTCATTGATAATTTGGTGGGATTCGTACAATGTCATCAACTCATTCGAAGTTATTAAGATGCAATTTGCTGGGTTTTCTATGATTAGGTTCTTGTTCATAGATCTTTTATCATTTTTGGTTGGGTCTTTTCAGGATAAGGAATTGTTTGTCACAGTTGTATGCTAAGGACATTACTCCTGATGATAAGCAGGAACTTGATGAGGCTTTACAGAGAGAGGTATGTTGATGTTGATAATAACAAATGGTCCTTACAGTATATAACCATATGAATACTTACAAATAGATCATGCCATATATAAGCTGTATCATAACAGATGACCTATCACCATAAAAACCATGATATACTCAATTGGTGAAAGCTTTTATTTTACATGTTGACATTCCTGTATTAACTTAATTTGATGCATAAACTTGATAACATCTTGATGGTCATCTTAATTTACAGTTAGACCAATGCTCGTTTCTAGTGTCCAAAAATCCTAACTCAACTTTGATGTGATCTAATCTATGTGAAGTTCTCTTTAAGATTGGGATCAAGATATTACTTTTGTTTGTGTACACCACCATTATTGAATTGCTATGCTTACTGTTGATTTTTTCCTTCTCATGCAGATTCAAGCTGCCTTTCGTACTGATGAGATTCGAAGGACTCCTCCTACTCCACAAGATGAGATGAGAGCAGGAATGAGCTACTTCCATGAAACAATCTGGAAAGGTGTACCAAAATTCTTGCGTCGTGTCGACACAGCTCTGAAGAACATAGGGATAAATGAACGTGTTCCTTATAATGCCCCTCTCATTCAGTTTTCTTCTTGGATGGGTGGAGATCGTGATGGTATGCTGTTATCCATCTATTATAATCATTCTTGAGGATCTTATCAAAATATAATCATACTTTGTGTGCATACTACCTCTTGCGTACCCCAGTAGTTAAAAACATCACAATTGTAACTGTAGATGTTATGTTATCTTCTTCCAAGATACATGAAATAAAAGGAAGGAATAAGCAAAACTAGGATTTCCCCAAGAAGGAATATAAATTGCTACTTGAAAGTTCATGTACAGAAATGTTTGTTTGGATTATTACAGTGGGGCCAAGGCTTCCTATTGATTAGCTCTCTCCCTCTCTGGGAATTATATCTTCTATGATGATGATATTTTCCAATCTTAACATCTGTCTATATGGACTGTAGGAAACCCCAGGGTAAATTCTGAAGTTACAAGAGATGTATGCTTATTGGCTAGAATGATGGCAGCTAACTTGTACTTCTCCCAAATAGAGGATCTTATGTTTGAGGTATCAAATGAATTAACTCTTTCTTTTGGACATTTCGATTTTGACCTGGGTTGTTTTGCTATGGTGGTAGCCTGTTAGGGTGTTAAATGCCCTAGGTTCAAGTAAAGAACGATTACTGCTAATTCTTGTTACCAATTATCTCGTTTGCCTTTGTAAATTGTATTTGCAGTTATCAATGTGGCGCTGCAACGATGAACTTCGTGCTCGTGCAGATGATCTTCATAGGACTTCAAAGAAAGATTCTAAACACTATATAGGTTTGTGATATTGATTCTAATTTCTGCTCGTGCTCGTTTTCTTTTGTAAATTGTCTTTTCTTTTTAAGATTTCAGAGTGTTTCTGCTTATTGTGATATTCAGATTTTGAGAATGATAATAATCTCATCAATACCGGTTATTTAGCAGAAAGCTTTACTCATACACGTGGGCAAACAGTTTGCTTTAGAATGTTGCTTTGCTTCTGTATGATCCGCATACTCTGTTGGAAAGATTTAATTTCTGTAGATCTTGGGTACCAATTCAGTTAATTGGGAATGCCCTTACTCATCATTGTTATTGGAATGCAGAATTTTGGAAACAAATTCCTCCAAGTGAGCCCTATCGTGTTATTCTTGGTGATGTCAGAGACAAACTGTATAGCACACGGGAGCGTGCTCGTCAGCTATTAGCCAATGGGATTTCTGACATCCCTGAGGATTCAACTTTTACTAATGTGGAGCAGGTCTCTTCTTCACAACTTGTTAAATCTCCTTGTCAAGGAAATTCAAATAATCAAATTGCCTAGTCTGATTGGTTTTTGACAATATATCAAATTGAACCATCTTTATAAGTCAAATGACCTAGATATTGCATTCTACATTTCTTGATCGTGATTACTGGTAGTGTTTTAAGTTTCCCCCTAGATGAGGTTCAGACAACAGGACTAGTTTCCAAAGCAAAAGATTAGTATTCCCTTGGCAATGTTTGATTCTGCCCCTCATTTTTTAATCTTATTTTTTTTTAAAAACTTTTGAGTCACAGGTTTTTGGTTTTACCTGCAGTTTTTGGAACCGCTGGAACTGTGTTACAGATCACTGTGTGTTTGTGGTGACCGGCCAATAGCTGATGGAAGCCTCCTTGATTTCTTACGGCAAGTTTCTACCTTTGGGCTTTGCCTTGTGAGACTTGATATCCGTCAAGAATCTGATAGGCACACTGATGTCCTTGATGCTATTACAAAGTACTTGGGCATAGGATCCTATCGAGAATGGTCCGAGGACAAAAGGCAGGAATGGCTTCTGTCAGAGCTCAGAGGCAAGCGCCCAATTTTTGGCCCTGATCTTCCGAAAACTGAAGAAATTGCTGACGTGTTGGACACGCTCCATGTCATTTCAGAACTTCCCCCAGACAACTTCGGTGCCTATATAATTTCGATGGCTACAGCCCCATCTGATGTTCTTGCTGTTGAACTATTACAACGTGAATGTCATGTGAAGCATCCATTAAGGGTTGTTCCATTGTTCGAAAAGCTTGCTGATCTTGAAGCTGCTCCTGCTGCTGTGGCCCGTCTCTTCTCAATAGATTGGTACAGAAACCGGATCAATGGGAAACAAGAGGTCATGATTGGTTATTCTGATTCAGGAAAGGATGCTGGCCGTTTGTCAGCAGCTTGGCAGTTATATAAGACTCAAGAAGAGCTTGTTCAGGTAGCAAAGCATTATGGCGTTAAGCTCACAATGTTTCATGGACGAGGAGGAACTGTTGGAAGAGGAGGGGGCCCCACTCATCTTGCTATATTGTCTCAGCCACCTGATACAATCCATGGATCACTTCGAGTGACAGTTCAAGGTGAAGTAATTGAGCAGTCTTTTGGGGAGGAGCATTTATGCTTCAGAACACTTCAGCGTTTTACAGCTGCTACACTTGAGCATGGAATGCATCCCCCAGTCTCACCAAAGCCAGAATGGCGATCACTCATGGATGAGATGGCAGTTGTAGCGACTAAGGAATACCGCTCCATCGTATTCCAGGAACCACGTTTTGTTGAATACTTTCGCCTGGTAAGTATTTCACGCATTCATCATCACTTTCTCCTTCAGTTTGTTGAATCTGTTTTTTATTTTTTATTTTTGATCTTTGGGATGCTGTAGGCAACACCAGAGTTGGAGTATGGTCGAATGAACATTGGTAGTCGTCCATCAAAACGGAAGCCAAGTGGAGGCATTGAATCACTCCGTGCCATCCCATGGATCTTTGCATGGACTCAAACGAGGTTTCATCTACCTGTGTGGCTCGGTTTTGGGGCAGCATTTAAGCATGTGATTGACAAGGATATAAAGAATCTCCACATGCTTCGGGAGATGTACAACATGTGGCCTTTCTTCAGGGTCACAATTGACTTAGTTGAAATGGTGTTTGCTAAGGGAGACCCCGGCATTGCTGCTCTGTATGACAAACTCCTTGTATCAGAAGAATTGTGGCCTTTTGGAGAGAAATTAAGGCGCAACTATGAAGAAACAAAGCACCTTCTTCTCCAGGTATCCTATACTGAAATTAGAAGAGAATTTAAAAAAAAAAAAAAAAAAAAATTATATGGGTGTATATAGTCTGAATTATTTTTTCTTGTAGGTTGCTGGGCATAGAGATCTTCTTGAAGGAGATCCATACTTGAAGCAGAGGCTCCGACTCCGCGATGCATACATCACTACACTCAACGTTTGTCAAGCCTATACTCTGAAGCAGATACGTGATTCCAACTTCCATGTGAAGGTGAGGCCACACTTGTCGAAAGAGTACATGGAATCAAGGAAGCCAGCTGCAGAGCTGGTGAGGCTTAACCCTACAAGTGAGTATGCTCCTGGTCTGGAAGATACTCTCATTTTGACGATGAAGGGTATAGCTGCTGGTATGCAAAACACTGGTTAAGGCAGCCTACAATTAAATTATTCATAAATTAGAGAAATTCTCTCGTTTTTCTGTAATAACAGTAAATCAAACTTTATAAGTAACAATATATTATGTAGGTGCCTAAAAGAAATACAATGTTCATCCTTGATTACTTAATAAATTTTATACATATAATAATTTATACTGGGAGGGGTCCCTTGACGAATTCTTTTACCTTTTTTAGATCACCGAATCAAAATATATATAGTGTGAGAATTTGTGTAAAAAATGTGATAATATTAATACTATATTTTCAAAGAGTCTATTCATCTCCATAAAAATGATTTGGCAACACTTTCTATGTCATTCCCTATCATTTAATATGTGTTTATTAATTTAATTTTTTATATTAATTTATCTAATCATATTTAAACACATCACTTATACAAAAGACTTTATATAAATGTTATTTTATATAAATTCTTTTGTAAGTGTAATATTGTTCCAATGTTACTCCTGCCTCCACATTATTTTTCGAAACTATGACGTTCTGGTAATGTTTCAGACACTGGGTTTCGTGTCCTTGAGCAAATTCTTCATTTTATTTTATTTTATTTTTTGCCAAAAAAACATAATGTCAACTGTCAAGGAAGAACAATTACGTTATCATGAAAGCAAAGCACATGATACAATAGTTTCATCAGATGAGAGAGGGTAATTAATTATCATATAATATGAGAATTATACAAGAAAAAATATAATATATTGTTTGCTTTCTTCAAGTATGGAGACTAGAAAAGAAAATAATGATAGCCAGCCTTCCACCGCGCCCATTATACTTCGATGCCAAAAAATCCCAATCAAAGTGCCATCATCATCAGTTTCCTTCACCCAGAACCACGCAAGACCATTACACTGATAAATCAGAATATTTTAAAGCAGCAAATAGAGAAATATCAGAACACAATATTGTCTTATCAATTAGAACAAGAAATTTCAAAATTGGGGGACAGTGTAAAGTAGAAGGACAAATGCATAATAAATAAAAATCGATGTGGGTTAAGGAATCTCCTTATTCATTACTTTATATTACACTTGGGCCTTCTTATCAACAACAGGAATTGCATCCTCTAAAGCTTGAACGAAAGTGGCGATCTTGTATGTGAAAAATCCAACTAGCATTGGTATCAAATCTAAGTGCATATATCCAAATTCAGGGACGAGGATCCTGCACCGAAAATGATAAATGTCAGCATTATAACAAGAAAGGAATGAGAGTTGACATTACTACCTTTAATCCTACAATAGATTAATCCACTAATAATGCAATTTAAAAATCGGCTTAATTTTGTAAATCTGATTCTCATCACATTTCATCAGTTTACTAAGAGGCAGTCCGTGTAATTAGAGTTTTATAACACGTCATACTTAAACTCATGAACACAGCAGTTGCAAAGCTTATAGATAGAGAAAGAATGATTTAAAAGGGGGAATTTCAAGTTCCAGATCATGGTTTAAAAGGATTTGATCAATATAGTACAAAAGACATTTTTTCATTCAAATGAACTATAGCAAACTAGTACCAATATATAACAACAAAACGAAAGGAAATGAATACATGTCCAAGGACCATTTAATGCTCCCAGACTATATTTTTCTCTCAAATTCTCCATTCAAACACCCATTTCTCAGCATAGATTAAGTTTTCAGAAGAGAATGGTAAGACAAAGCAAAGGTACTTACCCATTCCACCGGTTATAGATCATGACCAACACAACAGGAACCAGCAGCCTCGGCTGCCCAGCTGCTCCCCTGCAAGCAGGACCCAGTGAGCTAAAAACTAAAATGCAGCCATCTACGTGCATGAGAATTAGAAATGCTTTTCTGTTTCAGCCATGCATATTATTTCCCTTATTTGTATATTAACAACTTAGTTCAATTATCAGCAAAGAAGTATCAAAGAATAATTGACGATTTATAGTACAAGTATGTCGAGGTAAAGCAATAAGTATGAAGAAAGGCATCAACAGAAGATAGTTAACATCTGATGGTAAATGCAAACTAAACACATACTTAATAAGCCCCTTGGCTCCATCTGCCATGGAATCCACAGTACTGCCCAGCATGCGTATATAAACCAACGAACCGAGCAAACCAGCACCAAAGCTGTATACAGGAAATAACCAAAGAATCAAGTATCATGGTTAAAGAATGAACTTCAAACATCATTCTCACTCCTAAATTGCTTGATAGATCCCTTTTAGAAGCCAATGGTTTGTGGGCTTTAAGTCATGTTTGACATTGAGAAAGCTTCGCGAGCTACTGTCAGGTATATCATACATTTTAATTATCAGGAATTGATGAAAAACAACATTGATATCAATTCTAACTTATAAACCAAAAGCTGATAGACAAGTGGCTGGGCTCAAATGTACTAAGGAATTCAAACATTTGAGAGCATACTTACCTAGCCGCAACTTCAGGAGAATAAGAAACATAAGCTGAGATCAAACCAACACCACCTATACCAAGTGTGAGAATCTGCAACTTTCTCTTTAACTGCAAAAGAGAACAAAACAAAAATTAGAAACAAACAACAAGACTTTCATGAATAAATGATGAAATGGACCTAAGACTGAAAAAAGTACCTTCAAATATTGCTCCCTTGATTGAGCAGCCAATACTTCTGGGTCCCCTCGAGGCCGCCTCAATTCTCGAAACATTACATCCTACACGCTAAAGCTAAATTAGAACCCTGAAAATCAAACAAATCCTTCCAAATCATAGTGGAATGAACACAAGGAAATTTTATTTTCTCAGCCAGAAAGAGAAAATTCAACAACACTTCGAAGAGCAAGGGAACTCCAGGAGTATGTGTGGGTGTTGCTTCTCTCAAAGGAGGAATGACAATTAGGTGATGAATCCAATATAAAAGGTAGGCTCATAACCTAATGGCTTAAGGCTTATTGAATGATTATCAATGTATATGTCAGAGCCTAGCTGAAAGGTTGGCCCGCAAGTGATATCAGACCCTGATAGCAAATGCTAATCTCCTAAATACTAGATATCCACGAAATGTAAACCAAACCATCTTTCACTCCAGTGGTTAGTAGACGTATCCTACCTTTTCTAACTTATTCAACTTATAAGCACAAGTTTACTAAAAATTACCAGTAAAGATGCTGTTACTTACACTGCCTCCAGTTGCAGCTTTAGTTGCTTTATCCCACTTCTCTTGCTCACGGCGTGTAGGTGCCAATTTCCACCTGCGAAAAGGGCTGCCATTGCTCTGGTGATTGTTCAATTCCCACCCAACAAATACAAAAAAAATTGAGCAACTTATCACAATAATATAAACAGTATGATTGTAAATGCAAAATCATTCATTTTACCTGAATGGCGGCCTCAACAGGCTGCTCTAATACAGTCCTCGAAGGTGCTGTAAGCTCATTGCTTAAATCAACTTCAAGACTATCAATATATGCCCATAATTCAAACAAATTTTTAGTAGAAATTAAAGAAGAAAAAATACAATTTCTGAAATTATTAGTGAGAACAAACCTGTCAAGGGTCATAACTCTATTTAAGCTTAGAAACCCAGACGACTCTTCCTGTAAACACCAAAAAAAAATAAAAATAAAAAATAAAAAAAATAGAAGTTTTAATGGTCAATTAATAAGAATTATTAACTAATATATAGAAAGAAATGGAGAAGTACCTTAACAGGAGTGTTTTGAACAGAAGAAGACTCATCAGGATCCTCAATCAATCTCTTCATGCGGCCCATGAATTCATTGTTCCAAATAAACTCATCAGAAGTTAAAGGGTCCTCTTTTTCTCCGCCCCAGTACTTGCGGAGCTTAGTGGTGGTGGGTGGGCCACCATAATCACCAGGGGCGACACCGGTGGACCATTTCAATGACTTCTTCTTTGGGAGAATAACTTTGGTCTGTCTTGGGTCAGGTATTGCAGGTGTTGAGGAGTCTGGAGAGATTGGGGCTGTTGTTGAAGTAACAGATATATAGTTGAGAACAGTCATGGTTTGCTTAATGTTGATGGTGATAAGAAGCTAAAGCATAAAGCTGGTGAGAATATGTCTTAGATTGATAAATAAAAATAATTTTGTGATGGTGATGGTGATGATGATGATGATGATGACGACGAAGGAATATATCTGCGGGTTGTGTCCATTGATTTAACACATGTATGCAATACTCTAGCCGTAGTTCTATTTTTCATTTCTTTTTCATTTTTCTAACAAGTATTTCTAGTTTTCTACAGAAACGGTGGCGTATGAAGAATCAGAGTCGGGATCAGAGATTCAGGATCCTAGAACTTTCATCTCTTGTATAAACGAGACTATAACAATATATAGTAACTCTGTGTCACCCAACCATTAGATAGAGGAACTCTCTCCGTTCCGATTTGGGATCGGTGGCATTCTCCCCCCAATGCACTTTCGATGTCTCGTGACAATTGGCATTCTCCTTCTAATGTGCTTCCGATGTCTCACATGTGGATGCCCTTTTGCACGGGTGTTTGACAGACACCAAAAGATAGATAAGGTCTACTCTAATAGCAAAGTCATAAGTTGAGAGTTTTATACACAAAAGATTAACTCTTAGTGGAGATACTCTCTCTTAGAAACCCAAGACCTTCTTAATGCGCTTCCAATATGGGATCTATGATAGTTATCTTTCATCGAAAATGTTATCAAAAGAACTTAGAAAAGAATTTAATAAAAAATAAAAAAGTTCATACATATGTGCGGCATATATGTTGATCATTCAGTCATCCCATATGAAAAAAAAAAAAATGTGATGCTTCTTTTTATTTTAAACTGGAAGCAACTAACTATCTTTATATTAATGAACATATGAAATTATGAATAAGTGAAAAACATGCTTCCATAGTCCATATACAAGCCTAAGTGCCTAACAGATTAGTTTTAGCAAATACAAGCAATATACCGTCAGCTACACCTGAAAACAGAATAGCTATTGGCAAATTGGAAGCGCTTCCCATAAAACTTATCTAAGTGTTTTTGTTTTGTTCCTCTTGCAAAGGGCATAGAGATTAACCAAGTTTCAAATCTCCGTTAAGGGGTCATAACAATTTCATCCCTAAGGTTTGACTTACGTAATGTTTGTCCAGTATAATATATTTTGTAATGTTTTGGTCCTTGTTAGACTAACATTTTAATCCCTATTCAACGGGATGAAATTTACTTTCCCATTAAGTCAGCTACAATATGTTGTTTTCATGTGTTGTGTGTAGTTTTTCTGCTAAGCTCGGGTCGACTCGAGGATACAACTCAACCCAGAATGACCTCGGTGACTATGATTGATCAACCCAGCATAAGCTCATCAAGCCATAGCTCGACCCAGCACAAGCTAGTCGCGAAGAACCCGAATGATCATTCAATCAATTCCCAGATAACTTCAGATCCCAAATATTACGGGAACGATCGGATTAATAACAATCTTTGCGCAATCTTAGCGCCTAATCGTGAGAATATCGAAGTTGCAGTCCCAATCAATTGTAATCCCTTTATTTTCGCTCTTTCCTTTATGTAAATCTTGTATATATATCCCTTAAAACGATGAGAAGGGGGATACCAAATTCTATTGTAGAAGTTCTATTGTAAGCTCATAGCAAATAAGCAAAACACAACGGATGTAGGCTGTTAAACTTCGCCGAACCACTTTAAAAGTCCTTATTGCCATTTATTTTCTAGCATTTTCGCTTACTCATAGCTGATTACCCATAATCACGCACACATCCGTTCCGATCCCTACAAGGTCTATCGGATCTCACTGGTTGGTGCAGATTTATGTATCAACATTTTAGCACTAGAAGGAGGGCCTCCGCCGCTATTTCAAAAATCCTAGCAGACGTTCACCGCGATTTACCTATCCCAACACAAAAATGGTGTTCACCAGATCAAGAACTACCATTGGAAATCACGAAAACATGGAAGCTTCCCACTAGGAGGTGCAATAGGAGAACGTTGGGCGTCGACCACTGGTATCACCGGCTCAACACACCATAAACAATCAGGGGGCAGGGACGTCAAATCCTTAGAACGGCCAGTTGATGGAGATTATCAAAATAATGGTTGCACAGGCGATACAACAGAATGTGGCTGAGCTGAGGAACCAACAGCTAGTCACCCAGAACCTTGACTCGTTGCACTTCACAAACGTTACCCTAATAGGTATGAACTCTGCAGGTCGACAATCTGTTTTGTCACCGCCAGGGGGCGACCAACAACGCCAACCTCGCAAGCAACCCCTCATGCACGAGTGAGGGTCTCGCGAGCAAACAAACCTTAGGCGGCGATTAGGGAAACAACCAATGAAGGAAAGTGAAGGCGACGGACACCACCGAGAAGCTCGACGGTATCCCTAGCATCAGCGTGTCGGTTTTAACCCACGCCTAAGACAAGATCGCTCTTTGCAGGCTCGCAAAGCGAGCCATGTGTGTCATTCTGCCAATGATCGACGTTTCGGTCATGATCGATGTCGCAAGCAACGCACTGAAGAGCTTGATAACACCTACCAACCCAACCATCACGACTCAACCTCGCATGTCCACACACGCCTTGGAGGGGCTTCGCAAGCAACAAACTTGCGAACCCACTTGCTCGAGGTACAACTCAATAGAGCCAACCAGGGGAACCAAAATGAAGACTTGGATCGCATGCAAAAGATGTTGGACGATCTAAAGGCTCGCCAGAATAACCTGGTGGAGGAAATAGTAAGTTCCCCATTTACGGAGGAAGTTTGTCAGGCCCCGCTTCCACAAGGATTCAAGGCACTAGAGAGCAAGTTCGATGGGAGAGGGGACCCTAGGGAACACCTCGACAACTTTAATGACCTGATGGAGTTGCAACAGGTCAATGACTTAGCGAAATGCTAGTGTTTCGCAGTCACCTTAGTCGGGGATGCCAAAATACGATACAAACGACTCAAGGCGAACTCCATCAACTCTTGGCAACAATTCTCCGCACTATATTTGTAGCAGTTTTAGGCAAGGAGACAATTCGCAATGCCGCTCAGCTACTTTAGTAGCATTCTCCAAGAGCGCGACGAATCGCTAACCTCGTATCTGACGAGGTTCCAGAACGAGCAGGCAAAAGTCGCTGATGCCCTCAAAGAATCCATTCGGACTCTTTTGATCACAGGGATCAGGCCTAACTCGGAGCTGTGGAAGGAGCTCTAGAGCGAAGGCCATGTGAATCTGACCAAATTCTACCAGATGGCCGCAAAATACTAACAAGTAAAAAGCTCGTTAGCAGCATTAGTCGGAACCTCAATACAAGGGGTGTCAGACAAGAGACAAGATCACCCTCGGATAAGCGTGGGGGCCAAGACTGAAGTGACAGGGATCGTAACAGGTTCCCAAAGAAACCGAGAATGGATAATCGCGAAGACAAGCAGCCTTTCCTACGATATGTAGAGTATACCCCCTTTACTCAAGACATCGTCCACATCTTTGAGGTATCCCGAGAGGCAAAGAGGTTGCTCGCTCCGGAAAGAATGAGGGGGGGCTCCAGGGAGAAGAGATCGGCAAAAATATTGCCAGTATCATAAGGATGTGGGGCACAATACGAATAACTGTCGGGCTTTGAAGGACGCCATCGAGGACCTGATAAGAAGAGGTCATTTGAAAGAGTTTGTTAAGATAGAACCACCTCGAGAGAATCCTAGTTAGCAAAGTAACCCGGTCCCAAGCCAGACATAGACCCTGGGTCAGCAAGCTCCGCTAAACCCCAATGAGGTATTTATGAACATAATCTACAGAGGACCAAATATAGCGGAAGCTCGAGGTGAGCCCGCGAGCAATATGCTCGGGAGGCCAGAACAGACTTGGTCTCCCAAATAATGAGTTGCGAATAGAAGCCGCCCAAGCAGCCTAAACAAGAAGGTGAGGTTGTGGAGTTCACAGTCGATGAGTGCGAAACATCCCCTCGTCACAATCATGACGCGATTGTAATCGTAGCAAGGATTGACAATGCGAGAGTATTAAGGGTTGTGGTCGACAATGGGAGGTTAGCGAATATTATTTTCTTGGGAGCCTTCCGAGGAATGTGATTCACAGAAAGGAATCTACGAGCGTGCCCTTCGTCGCTCTATAGGTTCATCGGGGATAGCCTAGTTCCCAAAGGTACTATCGACCTCCTCGTAACTTTAGGGGTCAAACCAAAGGTCAAAATTGTGATGGTCGAATTCCTGGTGGTGGATTGCCCGACCACATATAACGTTATCCTTGGAAGGCCAATCTTGGATGATTTGAGCGCAGTCACATCAGTGCGCTGTCAAGTAATGAGGTTTTCGACTCCCGGGGGAGTCGCAATGTAAGTAATTGATCTACCATACACAATGGAAAACAAAAATTCAATCGGTAAATCAATTACCTTTCTTTGCCTAGATCCGAGTATAGATTATACTGATTACATGTTTATAAACAAAAATATGTATAAAGTAAATCCATTCAAGGATTAAAATACTTACGTACGTTTGGAGGCTCCTCTGAATATCTCTGACTTCGGACATGAACACTGTTCACCGACTACTATTCACAGTTACTGTTATCAGCAACTGTTTACGGTTACTGTTCACCGTCTACTGTTCTCAATTACCGCTACTAGCAACTGTTCACCATCTACTGTTAACGTGATTTTTTGCCACTCGATCCAAATTAGGATCACACTCACGGAAGTCTACACGAAGATAATCCGAAGAACCCTTGATTATTTTGCTAGAACAATCAAGGGATTCAAGAATAAAGAAAGAAGAACAAGAAAAAGTTTTCTTCTTGAGAGAGAAATATAGGGAGGCTAGGGTTTTAATTGAATGAATAATTCTCCTTTATTTTAATTTTAAGTTGCACTTATATAGTACAACAATTAAAACCCCATTCCACTTAGGAATAGCCATGGACTCCAACCCTAGTTCACTCTTGCAACCAAACACACCTTTTATAGTATTTTAGTTAATTAATTATTATTATAATTAAAATTAATTAATATATAATAATATATTAATATTTAATTAATAATAATAATTCATTTAAATATATACAGAGATATATTTAAATATAATCTCACTAATTTAATTTTAATATTAAAATTAAATACAGGCAAT